AAAATTCGGATCAGTTCCTCTTCATAGGCCATATTAGGGCTCAACTTGACTTTCTCTAAGGATAGGACATGCGACGGGTTGGAACGATACCCCCTAAGCATGGACACGTGGAAAACATTATGAATGCGCTCCAACTCTATGGGTAATGCTAAACGATAGGCTACGAGTCCAATCCTCTCAAACACCTCATACAGACCTATGAAATGAGGGGTTAACTTTCTTTTACACCTAAATCGAAGTACTTTATTCCACGGTGACACTTTGAGGAATACCTTGTTGCCCACAACAAACTCAATGTTTTTGCGTTTTAAATCTATATATGACCTTTTCCTATCTGATGCCTCTTTCAACCGACCCTGAATAAACTTAACCTTTACCTCAATTTCTCTGATCAACTTTGGTCCCACTATTTTCCCTTTACTGAGTTTGATCCAACATAGAGGAATTCTACACTTGTCTATAAAAAACTTTGTATGGAGCCATCTGGATGCTAGGCTGGTAGTTGTTATTATACATGAACTCCACTAACAGTAGGTGGTCTTCCTAACTACACTCAAGATCTATAACGGTGCACCAAAGCATGTCCTCAAGGAATAACGTGTTCGGACTGACTGACTGACTGAGAATGAAAGGTTGTACTAAAATGAAGTTTGGTGCCTAATGATTTGTGAAAAACTTTCCAAAACTGAAAAGTGAATCTAAGATCTTTGTTTGAAATTATTGAGGCCAAGACTCCATGAAATCTTACTATCTCGTGGATGTAAAATTGCACTAACCTTTCTAAGGTAAAATCCATCCTAACCAGTAAGAAATGTGTTGTCTTGGATAATTGATCAATTATCACCCAAACTGCATCATACTTATACCTCGTCATTGGTAAACCTATCACAAAATCCATAGTCACTTGGTCCAACTTCCACTGCGGAATCTGAATCGACTATAGCAATCCTGATAGAACCCGGTGTTTTGCCTTAACTTGATGACACATTAAGCACTTTGCAACAAACTCGAACACTTTTCTTTTCACACCCTGCCACCAAAACTGTGGTTGGAGCTCTTGATATATCTTGTTTCTACCTGGATGGACTGAAAGGGGACTGCAATGGACCTTGTAAAGGATCTTGCTATATAATTGCTTAACTACATGTGCACACAACCGTCCTCTAAAGAAAAACATATTACCCTCACGCAACTCAAAGCTTGGGGCCTCGCTTCAGTAGACTTGCTCCACGTGAGCCCTTAAACGATTGTCTAAATTTTGTATCCTCTTGACCTCGCTCACCAATATGGGTTCTACTCTAAGTTCAACCAACAATCACTCATCATTAGACAAACTTAGGCCCTCAAACAATGCTCATAATTTGAACACCGACTTCCTACTTAGCGCATCAATAATAATGTTTACCTTTTCGGGTAGTAGTGATAACGCAAACATAGTCCTTTAACAATTCAACCCATCTACGATGTCTCAGGGTTAACTCTTTTTGGATAAGTATATACTTTAAGCTCTTGTGGTCGGTGAAGTTGTGGCACTTCTCACCAAACAAGTAGTGTCTTCAAATCTTCAGCGTAATAACTATGGTTGCGAGCTCTAAATCGTAGGTTGGGTAATTTTGATCGTGAGGCTCAAGCTGACGGAATAAATAGGCTATAACTTTTCCCTCTTGCATCAACACGCATCCCAAACCATTTAGGGAAACATCGCTAAACACAGTGAAGTCATTTTCTAACTTGGTTTGGGTTAAGAGTGGGGCTTGGGTCAAAAGGATTTCCAACTGCTCAAAGCTACTCTTCTGCTTCTCACCCCATACAAAAGGCATTCATTTATGCATCAACTTAGTCATTGGGGTTGTTATCATTGAAAAACCTTTCACAAATCGACGATAATAGCCGACAAGACCTAAAAACTATGCACCTCGGTCAGGCCCCTTGGTGGTTCCCACTCAAGCACTACTTGGTTCTTTTGATGATTAACTCTGAAACCACTAAATATAACACCCTAAACCGATTCAACATACAATCAACTGATTAGAATGCCACATGGGACCACCAGAGTAGCCAACCCAAAAATTTTCTTTTTACTACTCATTTAAAACCTTGATTTAAAGTCATTTGAAATAAATAAGTCAATCATAAATATATGCACAAATAGTTCTGTTGAGAGCTCCCAAAATAAGTATATCAAAATAATACAACCCAATATTTCAAAATCAAGTTACGACTCGAATATACAAAAAGAGATCTACAAATGATACATGCATTCTAAAGAAAGTAACTTGAGACGAATTCTGCTCACACTCAGTCTGGATCTCAACTACTCAAAAAGCTCCTCCTACTAACCTGCATAAGGAAACAAATTCCAAACGCTGAGCTTACTAGCCCAGTGCCACACTAACAATTAAATCATACTAAATGTGTTAAACAAATGCTTAAGCTATCAAGTATAATGCAATAGTGAGTATACTCGTATACATCACTCTCTACTCTATGATAGACATCATGATGTGGTTGAGGGTTCTGCATCTCAGAGCTCACGCACCACTCTAGTCTACCGAGGATGAGGTTCATAATCTCTACATTAAAAACAACACCCTCAACTAACCCACCCCTTGCGAGTGTCAGGCCTCGACCCTAGTTAGTCAGTTTAAAGTGCCTCAAATAATACCTAAGGATATCTGGATCGGTTCTATTTCTTGACACCAATATCATTTTCTAAAGTAACTCAGGCGTCCTTGTTGTTTTCCCAAGCATCAAACAAGGCTAGTTTTATGTCACCCTAGTTGATATTGTTTCTAAATATACTTGATTATTAATTTTTTCTCACTTGTTGCCTTATGGATAATAATTATGGAGTTATTGGAAAACCTCATCCCATCTTAAAATCCCTTAAAATTTAAAGCCCCTAAAAAGTATGCTAGTATCGATACTAAGCATCTCAGTATCGGTACTGACCGTAAAGTATCGATACTCCACCTAGGGTATTGATACTCATCAACTAATTTTAACTAAGAAATAAGGAGGTAGTATCGATACTCTCATCCCAGTATTGATACTTCCATGCTAAGGTATCGATATTGACCAGGGTATCTATACCAAAATAACATTCTGGAATTTGATTTGTGTTACCGGTATCGATACCATCTTGGGTATTGATAACAACCCTATAGTATTGATGCTCCATTAATGAGTATCGATATTCTTTTTTAAAATTTAGCTAGTTTTACCTGATTGAAGAGCATTATCGATATACATGCTTGAAAATGCTCTACTTGGACTCAAAATTTACACTCAAACTCACCCAAGCTTTTCTATTGAGGTTCCAAACATTATTTAAGTCTTATGTGATAATAAGGGGTCATAAATAGGACTTTGAAACATGTTATAACACTAAAACATAGAATTTACCATGAAAATACCAAACATGCTTCAAACTCAACTTTTAAGCTAGAATGCATTTCTAATGACCCACATTTGGTATAAAGAAGTTGTGAATGTATCACCTTGCTAGAAAATGTCCTTTAATCACCCAAGAGACAATTTCTCATTTCCCTTGCCCTTGGGCTCTCTTCCACCTCTTTCACTAATCAAAGGCAAGAAAAGGAATTACTAATTAAACTAAGTGTTTGGGTTGAAGTTAAAAACACTTCCTATAACTTGAAATCCTTAAAGCTTTCATATTTGTTTCACTTGGGAAATGAAGAAGAATAAAGGAAAGATGAAGAGAAGTGGAAGAGTGTTTGGTGAGCATTAAGGGGAGTAGTTCATGTAAATCATAGAAAAATAAGGGGTTTCAACTATAGATTTGAAAAATGGGTAAATTACACTTTTGGTCATTTTCCTTTTCAATTCTAAATAAACTCATCCCAAAATTCTATCAATTGGGCCCTACCTGTGCCCATTTCTAATTTAACTAGGTTCAACTATTCTAATAGGTCTTTTGGGCTCCATTTATAGATCTTGGGTCAACCCGAACTACTAACCCTGGATTTGGGGTGTTACATAATAAATGAAGTAAACTGTGGATTAAGAGAGTTACTTTATAATAATTTTTTATAAAATATTTGATTTGAATTAATTGATCAATAAATCAAATATCGATGGTTACAAAAAAAAATTGTCAAGACATATAATATGACCTAATATAATATTGTGATCATATCATTTTTAGTTAATTCGAATCCAATTTGAGTATTATATCTCTCCACATGAAACATAATTCGACCTTGATTTAAAGAGATTCAATATGATTTGAAATTTGACCTGAAATATAGGCTTAAACTCACGTCTGACCTAAAAATATAATAATAGCTTCATTTTCATCCAGTGAATAGAGAGTTAAATGGAAAAAAATATAAAGAGAATATAACAGTTTCCTTAAATATATAGAGGAAATTATATTATATTCTTACGTTGGGTCAAGGATTTTCACTCTAAACCCAAATTCGATTTCATTCTTCTCAAAACTAAAACTAAACCGAACCCAAAATAAAAAAATCTAGAAAAATGAGTTGAAACCCATTTCGACCCTAAATATATAAAATACAATTATTTTTGTTTTCACCCATATAGTAAATATATACCAAAGAAATATCAAATTTAAAGAAATTCAATTTTTATTATATATTTTTTATGTAAAATTCTATTACACTTTAATTCAACTTAATTTTTAAAATTTTAGAATAAACAACTATAGATGTTTTTACTGATGTTAGGATTAATTAATTGTTTCAATCATTAGAAACCAAACAAACTAATTGTACAGTTGAGAAAAAAACTGAAAACGACATCGTTCTTCACAAATCACCGAGTTCAGTTATAAAAGATAGAAACTTAAAAAGAACCGTCGGATGTAAGGGGTCATAAATCCAACGGTATGAGGAGAAGTACAACTAAAACACGTGGCCGATGGTGGTTGGGCTTTCCTTTTTTTATTTCACCACCCAAATAATTGAAAAAATTATATAAAATAAAGGGAAAGTGGATATTTTTTCAACGGAAAAAAAGAAGGGAAAAAGAAAACACTATTTGATTTGATCTCTGAAACGAAAGGTTGAAGGCGAGAGAAGCGAGGAAGAAAAGCGAGAGACCTGCGGAGTTTGGACTCTTTGGTTTACTTGTTAAAAGGTAGCTTTGAGCGTTACGGAGTAGCCTGCCGTTCGCAGCGATCGCGCCGGACGGCGATCGGAATCAGAGTATTTTTATTTCTTTGTTTTCGGTGTGTAAGCGAAGATGGTGAACTCTATGGTGGAGAGAGCTACGAGTGACTTGCTGATCGGACCTGATTGGGCTCGGAATATCGAGATCTGCGACATGCTTAATCACGACCCTGGGTATGCGTCGCTCTGGATTCCAAATTTCCCCTCTCTTCTCGGAAGTTGTTATTGCTCTTTTGATTCGATCGGTGATTGTGTTCAATTTGATTTTGAATAATGAATATGAAGACTGTGAATCTAGATTTATGTATTGGATTTGCTTTTACTTTTTCATTTACATTTTTTTAAATAATTATCCTCTTGTTCTGCTAGTGATCAGCACGTAAATTTAAAGGAATAGATTTGGTTCATGAAAATTTTCAGGATTGATTAGTTTGTTTTGCTTTTTCCTTCTTTGTTCAACCTGTAATTTATTTAATGGATGTATTTGATAATAACACTGCTTTGAAGGTAGTTTTACTTGAGCAGCGTAATGATAATTATGTTTTATACTGTTGTTTTCTGTTAATTATTTTTGGTCGCTTTTGCTGGTTGCTTTTTATTCATTGTGACTTCTTTGAAAGTAGAAAGACCTATAGGTTTAGTTTTCTGATTTTTCTCCCTCCAGAGGAGAAACACTAGATGGCAACAGGATTTATATCTTTTAAGTTTGAATATTTTTTGCTTTCTTAAATCTAGTGGTGAAATTTTATGATTATAATCAGGCAAGCAAAAGATGTCGTGAAAGGAATAAAAAAGAAGCTTGGAAGTAAAAATCCTAAAGTTCAACTCCTTGCACTAACTGTAAGCTGCTAGTAACTTTTTCATTGATTTCCACTAGTCTCTGGATATAATGATCACTTTTTTTTTTGCCTGTTATGTCACCATTTTTGTAATTGAACTAAAATTGTTTAATTTTGGTGTACTTTCTATGTTCTAGCTGCTAGAAACTATCATTAAAAACTGCGGGGATATTGTCCATATGCATGTTGCAGAGAAAGGTGTTCTTCATGAGATGGTTAGAATAGTCAAGAAAAAGGTAGGGATCCCATATTGTAGTTATTTTCTTCTTGTAAAACTTATTCTCAGTTTTTGTATTGTTCAATTGTAGCCCGATTTTAATGTTAAAGAGAAGATATTGACTCTGATCGACACTTGGCAAGAAGCTTTTGGAGCTGCAAGGGCAAGATATCCACAATATTATGTTGCATATCAGGAGTTGTTGGTATGTCTGCTTAGAGGCCTCTCATCTTAAGTTGTATGAGTCTATGACACATGCTGCATTTCTTGTGATCCAATTCTCCATATGTTATTCTTCATTTGTGACTTACTCAAAACACATCTATATGCAAAGACTACTTCTACATAATGTGGCTTTTTTCCCCTTTCCCCACCTCTGAGGCAAATTGGTTTATTGTTCAGCGTCTTGGGGCAGTATTCCCACCAAGATCTGAGAGGTCTGCACCCGTACTTACTCCTCCTCAAACACAACCTTTGTCTTCTTATCCTCCAAACATTCTCAATTCTGATCAGCAAGACACAGCTGGGTCATCAGCAGAGTCAGAGTTTCCATCCCTGAGGTATTGGCATTTTTGTTCCTCAGTTTCTTAGTGGTATAAAAGCATGGTTGTTTTTGTATTTTGCACTATTCGTATTCAGTTTCATGATGGCCTAGGTGTCTGTGTGTGCATGTTTTAAACTTTCTGGATAATGTCTTTGTAAAATTTGTGCTGCAGTAATATGGTTGTGCCGAAGGCTGCTGCCCGTACTAGATTATTGTTATTATTGTCTAATGAACAAATTACGGGGCTTACTGAAATATTCTTTTTGATAATTGCTTCATAAGGCTAAGAGTCCATTTCATTTTCCCGTATGAATTATTTAGTATTTTCTCTGTATTAGAATAATTGTCAAAGCGAACTCTTTATTCACTCCTTAATGTATTGGGTGAAAAACTTCCTACTTTTTTCAACTTCATTTTTGGTCATCACATCAGTGCTCCCTGTCCTTAGCTGGTAAACATAACTGTGGTGTTGTCATACCAAGGATTATCCATGTCTCCTAGAAATAGAGCAGTAGGGACTTTCCACAGACTAGAGCAGCTATAATAGTTGAAACTATATGAATGTTTCATATTAATGGCAGTGAAATTACATTGCTATACTTTTAGTCTTTTAACAGAAGTTTCATTTATCAGTATGACAGAAATTCAGAATGCACGAGGTATTATGGATGTCCTTGCAGAAATGCTAAATGCAATAGATCCAGGAAACAAGGAGGTATTTGTTCACAATTTGATATGTATGAAAAATTTGTTTGGCTGTGCTCAAATTCAACAGATGGTGTACCGTTTTATCTGTGTAAACTTATGTTTTTCCAGCTCTTATGAAAATGTTTTCTAAAGTTTACATCAAGTTTCAAGCTGCTAAATCTGAAGATATAACGCTGTTGTGATTTCTGTAAGTTCATTTTCTATTTGCATATTTACTGGTCTTTCTTCTACCATTTCAGGGACTTAGGCAGGAGGTGATTGTTGACTTGGTGCAGCAATGCCGTAATTACAAACAAAGAGTTGTACATCTTGTTAATTCAACATCGTAAGGAAACCTTCTTTTACTGAAACTTCCCTGCGGTCCTTTGTACTTTACATAAGTTTGTGACTTGATGTTATAATCTTTTTCCATGGATGTGACCTACTTTTCTGCATGGAACTCTCTTTTTATTTCGTGGTCCTTAAGGCGTCTGTGCTAGTATAAATTGTTAACATACATTATCAAAATGAGGTAGTGAAACCATGTGTTGAGGTTGAAGGACTTCATTACTTTATTCAATCATATTCTATTTGTTGCTATGGTGATAAGAAGCTGGAGTAGTCTGAAGGAATTCATTTATTTATCAAAATCTTTTTCCCTAATCTATGCCAATGAGTATCTTTTTGGGCGTGTGTATAAATCTTTGTGATATTTTCACTTATTATGCCATGTATTCTAAGCATTGAAATTTGTAAGCAAATTGTCTTAAATACTTTTTATATTTAAGATACATATCACCTTTTCGTTAATGATTGTAGGGATGAGTCGCTTCTATGTCAAGGTTTAGCATTGAATGATGATTTGCAGCGCTTACTAGCAAGGCATGAGGCAATAGCTTCAGGAACACCTTCTCAAGCAAACAATCCTAAGCCTGAACCTGCAAGAGAACTTGTGAAAGTCGACAGTCCACTAATTGATACTGGAGACAGTGGCAAGCCGTCCGAGGGGAGGTAATTAGGCTTCTTTGAACTGGATTTGCTTATGCAGGGATCTGGGATTAAAATTATTGGTATTCTGTATTTTTGTTTATTACGGCAAATTGTAGGAATATGCTTAGAATTTCAAGTTCTGTTTGTTATATATGCTGCATTATACTTCTTTTCTCAAGCATTACTGGTTGAAACCAATATTTTTCTTGGCATCGCGAAACTTGGTTACCAGTTTCTTTCATCTATTTGAATCATTTGTTTTGAGGAATCCTCGGTATGATTTAGTTCTGGGTTTTTTGAAATGAATTACATGATCGCGTGTGCCTGGTGATGTTAAACTGGCAATCTTTTGAACTCTTTAGATTAGAGTGATTAGTAGTGTATTTACCTCTATCAGGAATGGTTGAGTTACTTATCAAATGTTAGGTTGCTAGGATCGGCATTGAAATTCATTTAATTTTGGGTTTTCCCTGCATCTAATAATTCCGGTAGCTTGAGTTTTAATTAACAGGATTTTTTTCACAGATCCGCTTCAAGCACTGTCGAAAGTTCACCATTCAATCAGTTATCGCTTCCTGCTCCACCTGCAACTAATGGTTCAACTCCACCGGCTGCCAATCCCAAAATGGACTTGCTTAGTGGCGATGACTTCAATTCACCAAAGGCAGATAATTCACTCGCCCTTGTTTCTTTGGGAGAACCACAACCACAACATGCAACTCCTGCATCGCAGCAAAATGCCCTCGTTCTCTTTGACATGTTCTCCGATGTTAGCAACACATCTAATTCTGTCAACATCCAGTCTTCTGGTTTGGCCGGACAAACCAACTCTTTGACTCCTCAAATTCAGCAGCAGCAGCAGCAGAATTTTCATGCGAACGGAACTGCACCAAACATGGTATCACCTCAATATGAGCAGCCATATGCTCAAGGCACAGTTCCCGCCTGGAATGGTCAGCTGGTTCAGCAGCAGCCCCCGTCACCTGTCAATGGTTTGTTTCTAATTATAAAAGGCTTCTTATTGCGCAAGTATATCATTTACTTTCGGCACAAATCCCTAGGAACGGACACATTTAATCATGGCATGCCACATGCCATTCTAGGAAATTAATAATGACATTCTAGGCATCTTTGGGTAGGTTGCATAACTATATTCTTGCTTACACTACATTATCTTATGAACCTTTCTTTTCTGCACGCGGAGAAGTTGCCCCGGGTAGTGATTCACTTCCGCCGCCACCCTGGGAAGCACAGGTAGCAGACTCTAGCCCACTTGCAGGTGCTCAGCATATGGGAAGTGATCAGATGGCGAGTATGTACATGCAGCCAACCACAGCCGATCATTTACCGACGATTAATAATCATGTGGCTCCAGTAAATCAGTTTGCTGGTTATCACCCACAGCCTATCCAGAGAGCACCACAGTATATGGGCATGCTTCCGCAGCAAATGCCAGCGGGCCAGATGGGTTCAATGTATCCCGGTTCCATGTATCCTCAGCAAATGCCAGCGGGCCAGATGGGTTCAATGTACCCTCAGCAAATGGCAGCAGGCCAGATGGGTTCAATGTACCCTCAGCAGCAGATGTACGGCAACCAAATGGGAGCATACGGGTACGGTCAGCAACCATATCTCGACCAGCAAATGTACGGGCTATCCATCAGAGATGACAACGCCCTGAGAAACTCTTCCTACCAGCTTCCCACTTCATCTTACACCCCACCGAGTAAGCCTTCGAAACCCGAGGACAAGCTGTTCGGAGACCTCGTTAACATGGCGAAAACTAAACCAACAAAACCCACTCCTGGAAGAGCTGGTAGCCTGTAAACCAGGGTTTAGTTTCTCCCTATCTACATAATTTTTTATGACTATTTTCTTTTATTTTTCCCCATTTTCTCTCCTTAAATATCTTTCATATTCCTACATACTATTGTGTTGAATGTTCTGTAAAGAAATTAAACATTTAAAATGTGTTTAATAATCCTATTAATTTTTTATTTAGTATAGAATTTTTAATAAGGTGTTGAATATGAATTTTTATTTTTTTTATTCAGGTTATCAATTTGATTGTACATTGTAATGCTGTAATGATGAATTAACGTGGTATTTCAGATTGTACTTTTTATGTTTTTTTATTTTCAAAAATGAAGATTTTTAATTCTTAAATATATCTTACACAATTTTTAGATTATTTATTGATTTGATGTATAAGACAAAAGTAATGCCATTATCACAGGGGTTGTCATATTAGTGTATGGTGTAATTTTCAACAATTTCGTTAAATCTTAATTGAATTTATTCCAATTGGCAAAAGAAAAGCAAAATATTGAAGGTCGATTAAATAGAAAAGTAGGGTTAAATTGATAAAATTGTAAAGATTAAGGGCTAAATTTGTGGTTGTGGTGTGGTTAATTTTTTTTAAAAATAAAATGAAAAAGAGAGGTTACCATTACCATTTAATCTAATGGCCCAAGATTTGGTTCGGTCGTGATCGAACTCGAATCCGTTTGGTTGAATCAGGTTTAAGTAGGAACGAGTTCAATCCATGCTTAAATTAGGGATAAGTATTTGATTCGAACTTGATAAATTTTGATCCAATTAGATTTTATAGGGTTAGCTTTTAAAAAAAAATAAGGTTCGAATTAGGTTTAAGTTTAATATAAAAAAAACTTACTCAGTCCAAAATATTAGTATAATTAATTTTTATATATCTAGGAAAATAAAATCTAGTCGCTTTCCTCATTATCCTCAGTTTTTCTTTTTTTCTTCTTTACAACTTGTATCAATTTTATTGATAAATTCAATTTTTTATTCTTTAATTTTATTTAACCGACACCGACATCGGTTTTGATGTTGATTGCCGCCCGCCGGTTATATTCTTTTTTTTTTTCTTTAGTTTTTTAATAACAATAATCGTCTTTGTGACATGTTCTCTACCTTTATGACACGTTATCTCTGTCTTTGTGGCACGTTTTTCTTTGCCTTTGGGTAGTTTACGTTTTTTACTATTGTTTTCGTTTATTTTTTTCTCAGGGTTGGGTTTGACATCGCCACGACTGATCAAGATGACACTTATTTGTTATCATGCTAATCTTCCCTGCTTTGGATCATCGGATTGATTTGGATACGCGCTTTGCGTTCATGGATAGTTTTCTCACGTCGCTGGAATCTAATTTGCAATTTTTCGATGGTCTTTCAATAGCTTCATCTCATTTTGTGGTTTGTTTGCCGATGCAGTCAAATTTATTCTTATCTTTATTTTGTTCGAGCTTTTTGGTTAGTTTTTTTAACATTTTCCTTCTTTGGTCTTTATGTGATCTAGGTGACTAGTTTTTGTTTATATGGTAATAGGAAAATGTCATAATTATATTTTAGGTTTACGGTTATACTTGTAAATCTTCATTATAATTTTGGATATTTTCTATTTTTAATAAAACTAACGACTTTCTATAAAAAATAATAATTATTATAATATTTTTATCTATATTTTTTTAATTAGATTTCTATTTCACCAAATAAAATTATATATATATATATATATTCAAGTGAAATCGAGAGTACGAGTTTTATCTTAAAAATAGGGTTTAATTGGACCAAACAAAGCTTTCTTATTAGTCAAATGATGAAGGGAATTGTGTTATTTTAGATAAGAGCCAAAAATTTAACCCGACCCATTCTCGTATTCTTTAGGTTTACTATAAAAATAAGTGCCTAAAAAATTGACTAACATTTTCTACATTATATTTTTAGATGCATACCGTTAAAATTTTTTGTTAAGTGACACATGTCATATTTAAATTTTCTTAAAAACGTATACTTTAAAATAATATTTTGTTTTTAATATATATATATATGTGTGTGTGTGTAACAAGTGTCACTTATAAGTTTTTAAAGAATAAAAGTGTAATGTACCTATTTTTAACAAAAAAAAAAATCTCTAAGCACTAAAAATTAATTTTAGATATAGTTTAGGGGCTCATTTTTATATTATTCTTTAACCCATACAACCGGAGACTACTGAACCGACGGTTTCTCTCTCTCTCTCTCAAATCTCACCATCGAAATCAAACCACAGGCCAATTCACATTTCATTCTCTCTTCTCAGGGAACTTCATCAGGTCAGATTCTAATAAGCTCGCTTTTATCTTTATTTTTTGATTATCTACTTGATCTGATCTCGCAAACCCTTAGGACTCTGATCTCAAACAATAAAAACTTCAATTTATTTTCAGTGGAAAATCCTTAACATAGTTGCTTTTTCTATTTTCAATTTTGCAGCAATCTGCCTGATCGATATAGGAGTATATAATTTGTTTTGAAGCATCCTTGAATCCCCTGCAGAGCAACGAGAAATGCAGGTTAATTGATGTTTATGTAGATTTTTTTTCTTGTATATTTAATCGAATAAATGGAGATCACCTATGAATTCAGTATGGGTTCTCCTTCGAAGAACAAATTTACCCTGATTAGTTTAGTTGAAATCTTTGTATGAAGGCATCAAGAGCAAGATTGTTCAAGGAATACAAAGAGGTGCAGCGAGAAGGCGGCCGATCCCGATATTCAACTTGTTTGTGATGATTCCAACATATTCAAGTGGACTGCTCTTATTAAGGTTGTTCCTAAACTGAAAATGGAGTAAAAACGAAAATTGCAAACATTATTGTTGTCTATGTTTACTAGACTTTTTTTCCGCAATACATATAAAAATATGAAACAGTTTTCTTCTAGAATTGATTATACTCGTGTCTAGAGACATACTTGTGTTCGATATTCACCTTTGAATCCTGGGTACATTGTTGTTTTGGTTTTTTCTGAATTATGTAGCCTTCTTTTGTATAGGGATCTCCTGAGACACCGTACGCAGGCGGAGATATGAAACAGTTTCTTTTTTTAAAATTGAATTAACTCGCGTCTAGATACATACTTGCATTCGATGCTCACCTTTGAATCCTGGGTACATACATTGTTGTTTTGATTTTTTCTGAATTATGTAGCCTTCTTTTGTATAGGGGCCGTCTGAGACACCTTACGAAGGCAGAGTGTTTCAGCTAGCTTTTGCTGTTCCTGTGCAATACCCTTTGCAACCCCCTCAAGTTCGGTTCTTAACAAAAATATTTCACCCCAATGTGCATTTCAAGGTATGATCTCCTTTATCTACCTGAATATTGATTGCATAAAATTGAATGAAAGAAAGATGTGCTGATGCTTGAAGATAGCAATAGCATCTCAGTATCTGATTCATTTTCGACGACTTTCCATTCTATTTTATTGGGGTAAGTTTGAGTACTTACTTGGAAGCCATAACAAAATAAAATAACTTGATGAAGTATTTGAGGTTATACACGAAAATATGTATTGGTTTTTGCAAAATTGTGCATTTTCTATGAATGTATTTCTTACTCTTTTTTCCTATATATGGTAGTATTCAAGGTTGTCGATGAGAACCGTTCTCTCCAAGAGATCGTATGAGGCTAAAAAAGATTCTGCTTTCATTTAGTAAACTCTATCTCCTCCAAGTTGGAGCAAATCCTTAGTTTTCATATGGCTTTGTTTTAAGGTAAAGTACACAAGTGTTAACTGAACTTGCTCAAATGATTGTTTTGGTCACTGAACATTCAAGTTACAAATAGTCATCAAAATTTGAAACGGTTACAAAATGGGTGTTAAATCTATCCAGCAACTGTAAATAATCATTAAATTTTATCAAAATGGTCATTAAATTCATAATGATCATCTTGTAACTTTTGAAAGTTCAGTGACCAAAACAATCATTTGAGCACTAGTTCAGTGACCTCTGGTGTACTTTACCCTTGTTTTAACTACCAGATGTCAAGAAGTAATTGGGTCATAATGTCAGAAAATGAGAATTAAAGTCGGTGACGTTACAATCTTCTATATGAACAAATAATCTGCTCGAGGACTTGTTTTACTGGTGGAAGAAGGTCGAGCTTTGTCATTCATTTCAATGCCATATATATTATTCGAATCCCCCTTCCATTAAGTGTACATATAATTAATATGTAAGATGTAATAACTCCATGTTCAATTAAGAATTTGGTCCATATTTATTAATCTGATTTCTACAGACGGGGGAGATTTGCCTTGATATATTGAAGAATGCATGGAGTCCTGCTTGGACACTTGAGTCTGTTTGTAGGGCTATAATAGCTTTAATGGCTCATCCAGAACCCGATAGCCCGCTTAACTGTGATTCAGGTAAGTTTGTGTTTCTTTTCTGTTTTTAACATATGAATTTACCTAGGGTTGTAAAGATTATTTTTAAATGTCAAATTGATTTAAGAGTATTCTTTTACTACCTGGGATGTGTATGTATATTGTTCTTCTTTCTGACAGGCAATGGTAAAAAAAAATGTAAAGTGAACCAAATGGTATGCCTATGCTGAACTGAAGAAAAAGCGAATTGCATACCTTATCGTTCCGCCTGAGACCTCTCAACGGTGTCCCATTTTCTTTGTTTTCCCTTCCCATTTCTATTTTTCCTCCAGCCTTTCGAGCAATCAGTAGGTGCGACTAAAATAGTTAGTGTTTTCTTGGGGTTTTGATATATTAGTACCTGTATAGGCTATATAAATCATGTGCATGTTTAAGCTGCTTTAATGCTCGATATCATCGATGAACACTTTTCCTACTGGACAGGCAATCTTTTAAGATCTGGTGATACGAGGGGATTCCAGTCCATGGCAAGAATGTACACCAGACTTGCTGCCATGCCTAAAAAAGGGTGAACCCTAATGGTGCTGCTGCGAACCGTTATCAGCCGCAAGAGCCGGTTTTTATCCGCGATTCACCTGTTGTACTTGTCAAATATGAATTTCAGGTATAGTTTCTCTACGTGGAGTTTATTTGCTGAGGATAATGAAACAACATTGATGTGTTCATATATGTAGGTCATCAAGGAGACATTATCCTAAGGGAAATTGAATTGTGTCTGAAATCTAAATAAGATTGTTGCAATTGCAATTCTAGTTGTTCATTGTTGCAGTTCTAGTTGCAATTGAAATCTGACAAGTATAATAACAATTGTTGTCCCGATTAGAAATAATTCAATAAATTTAAATCTTCGTATTTAAAAGTATTTTAGTTTAATCTTTTTTCACGATATTGTCGAACCAATTGAGTCCATCCGATTGAAAATTAAATTGAATACAATTTTTTTTCTTTGATTGAGCCAAGGGGATTACAAATTGATAGAATTTCTAAATATAAAGGGTTAAATTGATAGAATTATTTCTGATTAGAACCAAATTAATAAAGTCTATAATGTTTTTGACTAAAATTATTATTTTCAGGCCAATCACTAATCCATATAATATTTAATGGTTAGTGACATGTTTATAATAATTGTTTAATTGAGTGATTAAAATGTAACTTTTTTAACCAAAAAAAGTAACTTTTAGAAACAAGTGACCCATTTGTAATTAAACTAATAATTGAGTGATTTGAGTTGTATTTTACCTTTTTTGGTTGCAAAATTCACATTGATTTGATGATTAAAATAGGAAAAAAAATAATTTCCCTAATAAAGTTGAAGGGTCAAAAATATTATACTGTCATGTATCCTTTTAAGGTTTATTAGACATTAATAATTTTTTTTATGATAATAATAAATTTTAAGGTTTATTATACTGTCATGTTCAATATTTTTGACATTTAACTACACATAAATATGATAAACATGACACTATAAAGGGATAATAATGAAATTACTCCCTACGTTTACAAAAATGATCACTTTGTTCTCTATCTTTTTTTTAGAGCATTTTAACCCTTAATAGTTCATTTTGAAGGAAAATGTCCTTTGATTAAGTAAAAATTATTAGTTGATTGACTCTCCATGTTTCATACGGATTTTGCAAATCCACGTGAACCTGCCACATTAATAGGAAACGTTGATCATTAGTCGACTAATGATTTTCATCCATCCGATGAATATTTTCTTCCAAAATAAAACGTTGGAGACGGGATTAAAACATAATTTCTGTCGGAGAAAAAACACAATCAGATCCATCAAATATTTTGTTGTTAGGGATTTAAATTGTAGTTGTGATTATATTTTTGATTGTATCGTGTTATCGTGATTGCAGACATAATGAACACTATTACAGGAATTTTAAAAACAATTAGGGTTGTAAATGAGACGATACATATCGTTACTCAAACTCGACTAGGTCAAAGTTTGATAAATATTCTATTCAAATTAACTCGAATCGACTTCTTAACGAACCGAAATGAGATACTTGATACTCGACATTAAAGCTCGCCAACAACTCAAAAAATAATATATTAAAATTTTGTTTTTAAAAATTAAATTATTAATAATATTAACATTTATGTGTTGATTTTTTTAAAATATAATATAAGGTTATTATATACTTAAGGATCAGGTCCGTGTTTGAGCTTCAAATGAGTTAAATTTACGATTTTTTTTATTACAAACCTTTTTGAGCTTCAATTCATAATTTCGAATTCAAATCAAACTTAAAAATTTTAAGTTCATGAAATTTCGAACCGAATCAACTCGAACTCAAGAATACTCAAACACCACTCGACTCTTTTACAGCCCCAGTAACAATGCACATTAGCTCTTTAAAGGAACATTTAATTTGAATTTTACAGTCTAATTTGATACATAATTGGGTGTTGGGTGTATGGCCGTAATGGCAGAAAAGGAGGGGCCCTCTCCCTCTCCGCAACAAAGGGATGATGTTTTTTTTCCCTATGTATCCTTTTTTTTTTCTTTTCTTTTATTTATCATTAGTTCCGGAGTAAAAAAAATTCGACTCGAGTAAACAATTTGAAATTTTTTACTCGACTCGACGTTATGAAACTTGACTTGACTTGTCTTGACTTGATTGATAATTTCATAAAGTCGATTAAAAAAAACAAATAGATTTTGAGTTATAAAATATGACTCCAATAACTCAAAATTCTTAGTTATTAGTAGATTGATTTTTAAATTCGAGTCAAATCCTCGATTATGCATGATATATACATATCACATAGTAAAAGATACGGAGTAATATATATGTATATTGTATATGATTTTAGAAAACTGTTTAGATTGAGATCAATTAGTAACATAACATTGTAAATATTTACAATTAGATTTAAACAGAAAGTCGAACAACTTGACTAGAACTCGAATTTTACAAACTCGACTCTATAAAATTTTAAATAAAATTTGAGTTATAAAATATGACTCATCAACTTGACTAACTCGAAACTTTTTTATCCGACTTGACTATACAGAATATTCATCTCTAAAATATATCCGAAACACAAACTTATTTAAATTCGATAACTTTTAAAAAAAGAATGATTATTTATTTTTTTAAAATAATTGAGAGTAAATAAAAAATAATATATATTAAAAATTTGTTCATTTTTATATATATTTATAAATTGTATGTTGGGAGAAACATATGGTTGATATGATTTTGTCCGTCCAAGTCACATACTGCATGTAACAATGCCATTATATGTGTCCTCGTCTGTTCTATAATTTAAAATTAGGGTTGAGCAATGAAATCGAGAAAATCGAAAATTTGATTTGAATCAAACTATTTAGTTTTAGGGTTTTAATATGTGGTTCGGTTTAAAAAATAAATATATAATTCGTTTCGGTTTCGGTTTTTCTATATACAAACAATTTGAACCGAATTAAAAATAAAAGAAAAATAAGTATCCAAAACACATTTATTTTGAATTTATTATAAGATAAATTTAAATAAATAAAATATTTAAACTAATAATATTTTTATGAATTTAAATTTATATATTTGCACTCGATTTAAACTTTAAGTTCGCTTTTTTTTTGGTTAAGTTCGAAAAAGAGTGAATAAACCGAACTGAACTGAAAATTGTGGTTTTATATTATTTGGTTTAGGGTCCCATTTTCAAAAATTGACAAAGGGCGGTTCGATGCATATTTGAGTGAAATTTGACTATTTGAAAGTAATCTTGGACTCGTACAAATCAAATTACCTCAGTAGTTAAAAGACCGGGTTGTTATTCTTAGAGATCTCGAATTCGAGAACTAGCGACTGCAGTCGAGCTCATATTAACTTGTTATATATGGTAATTATCTCATACATTAGTAGTAGATTTTTTTTCAACCATTAGTCCTCGAGTTCCTCCTATTTACTACTTTAAACTCAAATCTTTTTATGTTAATCTGTGGTAAATACATGACAGTATCTGTTCGAAGATAACTCTCAACCGTTTGACTTTCATAGCGCTCGAGCCCGAGACCTCAAGGAATAGTAACAATTCCTTTACCACCACATCTACCCCTTTTTCTCCTATTTACCCTAGTCTTCAAGTAAAGAATCCACCATTTTAAATATATAGGAGATTGTAAGTTCAAACCTTTCTCTCCTAAATGCCTTGCATGCATTTACCAAGTAGGCTAAGGATTTGGGGTGGATATTTTTGATGTGAAAATGGGCTAGTTAGGGTTAACAACGCTTACCCCATTAGGGTTTTCTTCTCAAACCAACTCCACGCTCTGTGAGGGCGATTTCATCGCACGCTCCAATCAAACGTTGTTTACGTGCCAAGGCATCTTTGAGACCGCAGATACGACAGTCAATATTAAAAAAATGGAAACGGTAAATTACACATTTAGTATTTAAACTATCAGATTTTATATTTTTAATATCTAAACTTTTAATTTTTCAAAATCATACGTCATATTTAGTTTTAATTTCATTTTTAGTACCTTACCGTTAAAAGCTCAATGGTGATTTGCACGTGACGCTTTTTTATGGATAAATTGCATCATTCATCGCTCAATTATCTTCTCATTCCTTTTTTGGTCATTAAAGTTTATTTTTTTAATTTAGTTACTTATCTTTCAAATTACTCTTAATTTAATCACTCTAAATTTCAATTTTTTATTTCTAATTATATATCAATAAAATAATAATAAAAATATCATTTCACAAAAATTATTAATAAAATAAACTAGAGTGATTAAAATAGGAGTAATTTGCAAGTTGAGCAGTTAAATTGAAAATTTTTAAACTTTAGTACCAAAATAGGAGTGAGAAGATAATTGAGTGATGAATGATGTAATTTAATAATGAAAAATGTAGTGCCATTAAGTTTTTATCTGCAAGGTACTAAAATAAAACAAAAACTAAACTTTAGTAGGGGTGTTTACTATTTGGTTTTAACCGAATTAACTAATCGAACCGAATTACTTCGGTTCATTCGATCATCCACCGAATCAGTTCGATCGGGGAACAATTACTACTTTTTTCAATATTCGGTTAACAATTAATTAATCGAATTAACCCATTAAAAATTAATACCCGATCATTTTTTAATCACACTAGACTCATTAAATTATCAATACCTAATTAGTTTTTAACTCAAATAAAATATACATTTATTATATTTAAATTAATCTAATTATAAAAAAAATTATAAAAAAATCGATTAACCAACCTAAATAATCGAACTTTGTCTGATTCAGTTAATATTTTCGAAAAAAATTGGTTCAATTAACGATTAAAGGAAAAAAGTTTGGTTAATTCATCTAATGGTAATTCGATTCAGTCGGTGGTCGAATTAACCGTTTGAACACTCAAACTGATATTTTTGATATTAAAACGGACCAAAACTAATAGTTTATATACTAAATGTCTAATATACCCAAAAGGAAAAAAGGAAATTAATGCCGATGAAAGGAGCGTGGAAAAACGCGCTGAGATAGTGCGCTTTTTTCACTATTCCAATCTAGGGCCACATCATAATGGAAATGCGATAAGAACCGAACCTCACTTCCACGTGGAATATATCCATTGGTTCCTTTTCCCAGCATTTGTTTGCTCTCTCTTAACTTTCTCTCGAAAATAAATATAAAAAAATAACATTAATATATATATAGGGTAAAGTACAGTCATAGGTCCCTACACTATACTCAAATAATATTTTTAGTCATTGAACTTTCAAATATTAGAAAATTATTGTTATTTTTTACCAAACTATTATAAAATGATCTTTCATTTTATTGAACTATTATGAAATGAACATTAGATTTTTTGTCAAATTAGTACAAAAAGTGACCTTTAAATTCATCAAACTTTATTATCATACAAACAGCAAGATGATTATTTTTAACAATGTGATAAATATAATTACTATTTTGTAGTTTCTAAAAGTTTAATAGGTAGATTTATGATTTGAATATATCTTAGGGGGCTATGATGTATTTTACCCATAAATATTTTGCAGATAATTTTTTAATACAACAACAAAGATCCTCCTTTCAAGGACAAAAGATGAAAAACTCTTTCCTTGTCTACTCTCCTCTCCATGTCTCCCTCTAAAAGAATCGACAAACCTCTCCTTTGTTAAGCTAGGGTTTCTCAAAACTTCGCACTCAAATTATCCACGACGAGCTGCAGATCTCTTTGGAAAGATTCAATCTTCTTCTTGCTGGATCAATGTTCTTTCTTTTGATACCTTACTCTCGATTGGCCGTGAAGAATCGAAGCTGGGTTGGTTTTGGATTTCCTTAGCAGGTACCTAACTCAAACAAAAAAAAGGTATGTTCTTCTCCGATCTAATCACAATTCCCAGCTCTGGGTTTCTTTTGTTTTTGATCTTTGGTTTCTTTTGATTAATATGAGGTTAAGCTGAGCTGGAACTTTTTTATTTCAATTATCTGGGGTTAGTTTACTGTGTTTAGTACGTTAAGTATAGCCTTTTATTTCCATTTTGGCATCTGGGTTTTGCTTTATGAGTTCATATTTTCACTTTTATGGGATATTTTATGTGTTCTCTTCCATCGGTTCTCTGGTGTTGGAAATTATGTTCACTGTTCACTAGCTCGTGAATTCGATAGTTCTGAAACCCTAGATAAAAACTTACATTTTATGGATTCATGTGGGTTATTTTAACATCAAACTCGAAGGCTTCGAGGTGAGTTCTAAATTTGATTGTTTTTTGCTTTGATATAGAGGGGATTAAGACTTTAGTTCATGTTATCTGATAAAACCCTAGCATGTTGTTTACCTTATAGGTGTTAATTGATGATTTACTTTGTATTATAAATGGATGAGTTTTGGTTTTTATTTTATCAGGATGTTATTAACGCATTAACCCAGTAACTGCTCATGTTTATGTTTGATTTCATTGGGATCTAGGGTTTCCAGTTTTGTTCCCTTTGAATAGTATTCACTCGTCTGCTGCTATAAGTTATTATTTTATGTAATAAATCACTATATATAGGGTCTTTCCAGCTTCTCATCCTTTTAGTGTATCCATTTTACTATTTGATTGTTATTTCATATTGAATTTCCGATGAATCATGTAGTTTGTGCTTCAGTTCTTGTGGTATACTTAATATCTTAGTGCTTCATGCATATTGATTACATTGCTTATGGATATTGTTATGCAATGTTCATGACATATCTAATTGTTGTTGCATGTTGGTGTTATCAATTAGTTAGTCACACATAGCATGGAGACAACTACTGTGGTCGAGGAAGCTCATCACAGTTGCAGTTCTAATTTTGTCGTCAAGTCTGTCGAATCACCCATAGAAAACGACTCAATATCCAGAGATCTCGTCAAAGCTGATGACATTGATATTGGGAAGTGTGAACATTTTTCTATCCGGTAAGTCATGATGCTTAGTAATCAGTGCTCTTGTATGTTTGTTGCAGTTCCTCAACTTCTCTATTTTCTACCATTGTTGAAAATGGGTTTATGGTGGCTTTTGTTGAGTGTGGGGCTATACACAGTAA